ACGGTCACGTGATAAAGGTTGAACCCCAGTGCTAGGATTATTGATGGCATTAATATTTGAGTCTGTAAAATCAAGAACTTTTCTCTGACTGTGACGAACATATTGCTGCTGTTTGTGGTAGATTTTCAAAGCCCCTTTGATAGTGATGAATGCCACTCCACCCTAACAAACAGAAAAAGAACATGTAATTATTTTACTACAGCACCATAAAAATTTCTTTTTGGCAGAATCAACACTACCACATGAATAAATACAAATGAGTGTAGTGACAGATGTCGAATGGCTTACGCTTCTTGCTCCAACAACCAGAATCTAAGAATAAGGCAGGATGATGGAGTACACTTAGTATTTGCTATTGCAGTACAACCAATTAAAATTAATGGCAATTGTTGAACAGGTATACAATTTATAGCAGAGTTAGTGCTACGTCTGAAAATCATATTTAAAGAACATTTCTTTACAAAGTAAATTAAACGTGAAAATATCTTGCGAACGATGCCACCCTCCTGCCGAATGCAGACTCTGCCAACCCCACCGTAGCCAGTCACCCACCATTAGTACTTAATTTAAATATTTTCCACATTGGATAAATGGTGCACTGATACACTCAAGCACGATCAACACTGACTATTATACGAGGGGCAGTCAAAAAGTTCCCGGAATTGTGGTATAGCACTGTAATGGTAGGACATATGGCAACGCTTACCTAATCACCTTCAAAGTAGGACCCTTGCGCGCTTTCAGAGTAGGGAACAGCCAGAAGTCACTCGGAGCGAGATCGAGAGAGTATGGTGGTGAGGAATTGCTGCACAACCAGTGATGTGTCGAATGCGATGGCCGAACTCCAGAAGATTCCAAACGAAGCCTTCCGCTGTGCTTCCAACAATAGCAGGATCGATGGAGCAAGTGTGTATGCGCGCAAGGGTCCTACTTTGAAGGTGATTAGGTAAGCGTTGCCATATGTCCTACCATTACAGTGCTATACCACAATTCCTGGAACTTTTTGACTGCCCTACGTATTATGACTAGATTCAAGAAGTTTGTAATGCATGTGGAAGAAATTCAAATTGTATCCACTCCGTCTTGAATTCAAGACTTCACACAGAAGGCCAGCATCTTACTTCTACACAATAAGTTATCCTAGTGAAGTACAGTGAAACTATAAATGCAAGATGTCGTACATGAAAGCCTTTAAGAGTAGGCCTATATGCAGATCTTAACATGCTGGCATAACGTAGAGCGAACTAACAACTGTGCAGCTGCATGTAAATGCAGATTATAGCTTTTGAGTGAAATAATTTTCCTTATACTCAGTTTTTACCTGAGTGATTGATAGTTGTTTCAATTACAGAGATTGTAAAATGAATAGGACAGGAATACAATCATATTTATAACATTTAAATATGAATAAAGTTGTTCTTCCAACCAGGTCATTTTGCTTTTTGATCATGAAAAGATCACCGATGACTGCTACGTTTTGAAGATTTCTATCCTCTGGGTTGTTGCTCTGTGTAGACTGGTCGATGTTTACCAACGTTTCAGAGGTCTTACTGCCTCCATCATCAGGCCCTGATGATGGAGGCAGTATGACCTCTGCAACGTTGGTTAACATCGCCCAGACTACACAGCGCAACAACCCAGAAGACAGAAATCTTCATGTATGATAAACTCTGTGAATATTCTACTAATATCATCCAAAACATTTCTTCATGATACGCACAACATGAAAAGCGTGCGCTAAACACCGCGGTATAGAATGTTTTTTCACTACATAAAGCAAGCTACAATGTGCCAAGCACACATTCCAGGTAAACTGACACACACAAAATAATCATGTATGACCCTAACGCCACTGAAAACCTGTTGCAAAAGAAGAAAAAGTGTGGCTGAGAATGATATATATCACAAGAACTGTCTTGTTTTGGCTGACAACTGACATACACCTCCACTCCTTCGTTCTTGTTGCAAGAAAAGTTTTCTTGGTCAATCGTCTTGCTTCACTTAACGACCTAATACGGCCGGCATGAACGATGATGCCAAGTAAAAAGCTGCATATCATACATTCCCTCGTGTAAAACACTGTGCTATCCAAACTGAATCCTCAAATATGACACATACCTTCTTATACAAAATTTTAAGAGGAAACATGCATAGTATTTAGATAAACATGGTATTATGACACCATTTATCCAAAGAAACTGGAAAAATTTCCAGAACCTTCAGTTCAGACAGCCAGTATCACAGCTGAGATTCAAACCAGGTACCTGACGAACATCTATTTACAGCATTTCCATTACATCAATCTGCTCAACATTTTTACAACTTAAATTTTAATAAGTAACACATATGTAAAGCAGAGTATGAGAAACATATAAAAATAAGCCTTACAAGTATTGTCCTCTTGAGAGTCGAAGGTACGGAATCAAACAACAACTTGCCGCACAAAGTTGCAAATGTAGGTAATAAAAGTGCACTGCATAAAATTCGTATAGCCGAAACAGTGTCTGACAAAGGTGACACATCCACGCTGCTCCTCCGTTGCTCCCTGCACATACATAGTCATTATATGAGGAATCAAAAACATTACATTCCTGATTATTTGTATGAATGGAAGCTCAACGCACAATGAAGTAGTGCGATAAGACCGAGTTCCTTGGTACTGTGGTGGAAAATGGACCTAATGTACCAACCCCTGGTACTAGTGACATGGTATTTATATTGAACATTGGTAGAATGACTGAACTCCATGCAACACCACAAATTCCTCAATCTGAATAACTCAAGATTATTCCTATGAATATTTTAATTTTAATCTACTTACCCACTTGTTGGAAATAAGTGCCTGAGAAGTGGTACTTTGTAGGAGTTGCGTCTTAAGAATGCAAGAACGCTGTCCTCCCAGCGAATCATTTGGCCAAGAATTAACACAATGGGGATTGTGGGTAATCCAACCAGAAGAGCTAATGGATCTATCTGTTCCATTACTGACAAACCTTCCTTGTGGCCAAGAACCTATGTACAAAAGATAAAATAAATTTATATATAACTCAGCAGTACTGCGTCACATACTGCATTTTTTATTTCAATATGTTAAATGTGAACAGAAAGGAAAAAGCAAAACTGACATCAATTTGTAGAAACATAATCCAAAAGATTTTGCAATACTGCAAATACTGAGTAAAATATGAGTTATACTACATGACTTAAAACACATGTACACTTAAAACCTGTGTCGGAGACAGTGACATTATCTGGAATTGAAGAACCAACAGCGTTAGTAATGGCATTAGCCTTTATCATTTATTAAAACATGTCACCTTCACAAACGGCAAATGTGGGAGGAACTAGACGCTTCACCGAAAACCACGCCACTTACTATAGCATTT